GAACCCGCCACCTTAGGTGTACATGGCTGGGGCTTTAGCCACTTGAGCCACAAGCGCTGAGCCTTTTTTTTATTTTTATTTTTATTTTTTTTTATGGTTCAGTTTCAAGGAATGGTAAGAGAATACCACCAGCTTGGAAGGGCTTCCTGGAGGAGAGTGAAGGAATGAAGAAGAGAACAACTAGGGACGCTGAGAGAGGCAGAAAGGAGGCATGGTCAGGGTCAATGTGCCAGCTTTCTGGGAAAGCCAGGCCAGGGCTCCAGGGCAGGGTGGAGGTGGAGGGAAAGGGTCTCTCCCTCTGGTTGTGACTTGGCAAGAGAATGAGAGGGGGAAGGAAAAAGGAAGACTGATGAGGGCTGGGGTCCTGAAGGTAATTAGCCACTTGAGGACATGGATGAGGTCTCTGGGTAAAATTTTGACAGGATACCCAGTGCCTCAGCTGTCTTAGGTCCCCAGGACAGTGTCACTCACACCTAACTGCCCAGGAACAGGCTGTGACATTCTTGGCCATCCTTACCTGCTCTCCAAACTGCTGTGTGAGGAAAGATGTCCCAGTGGGGAGATGCTTTGTCACCTGTTTCGGAGCTACAACGTGGCTGGGGACCCTGGGCCATTTCCAGCCCTCCCCCAATTGTCTCACAGGTGAACAGGTTTGTTAGGCTGTCCTTGTGATATCAGACTAAATGGCAAGAGTCAGGCTCCTCCCCCTTCTTAAATCCCTGTCCATACTGAACCATGCTGGGTGTGAGACACCAGCACAAACACCCATAGAAACCACCTTCCCTCCTTCTCTGGGAGGATGAGGCTGTGGATTGCCTGAGCTCATGAGTTTGAGACTAGCCTGAGCCAGAGCAAGACCTCGTCTCTAAAAAAGAAAAAAGCCAGGTGTTGTGTTGGGTGCTTGTAGTCTCAGCTACTTGGGAGGTTGAGACGAGAAAATCACTTGAGCCCAAGAGTTTGAGGTTGCTGTGAACTGTGACACCACAACACTCTACCCGCTACCTGGGGCAATAAAGTGAGACTCTTGTCTCAAGGAAAAAAAAAAAAGAAAGAAACCACCTCCCCTATGTAGAAGTCCAGAGCCCAGCCCCGGTAGGCCTCTCGTGGCAGGTAGACAGTTGTATGTGCTGCCTCCTGCTGAGTGTCAGAACCCAGTGTGTGTCCTTGGATGTGTGCACATCTTAATGCCATGGCACCTGTCAGTCCCTTGTCCCAGGATATAAGTCCTGGCTGCTTTAGAGAGGACAGCCTATGGGGCCACACCTGTAGGTGGTCTCTCTGGGAGAGAAGTGGGTAGACTGGGAGTCTGTAGGGCTCTTCCAGGCCTGCCACTGAAGCTCCAGGAATCTGAGTCTCTGAGAGCAGGGTGTTGTAGGACCAGCAACAGTTAGCAGAGGACAGCTTAGACCACTTTTCAGACCACTCTCCAGGAGTGGTTGTTTACTTGGGAATCCCACAGTAGTGGTTTTCTGCCATCTTCTTGGATCTGCAGTGTTGGTGAAGCAGGAGGAAAGCTAGTTGCTATCAGTGCGCCTGGGAAAAGGGCTCAGCAAGGCTAGATTTAGAGGCTCTTATTATTCTGGCATGAAAGTGGTTTCTGCCCTGAACCTGCCCATGGAGCCCTAGTGGGAAGTGATGGGATTTCTCACATCCTCTGAGACCAGGGGCTCCTGTTCCTTTCACTGCAGGAACAGCTGAGCAGACCTCAGTTGAAACAGCAGGTGTCGGCTCGGCCCCTGTGGCTCAATTGGCTAAGGCGCCAGCCACATACACCTAGGGTGGCGGGTTCGAATCCCCAGCCCGGGCCCGCCAAACAACAATGATGGCTGCAACCAAAAAAAAATGGCCGGCGCTATGGCGGGCGCCTGTGGTCCCAGCTACTTGGGAGGCGGAGGCAGGAGACTCGCTTGAGCCCAGGAGTTGGAGGTTGCTGTGAGCTGTGAGGCCATGGCACTCTGCCCAGGGGGATAGCTTGAGACTCCGTCTCAAAAAAAAAAAAAAGAAACAGCAGGTGTCTATAGGTCACTGGCCCCTGGTCAAGTTCCAGCTGAGGTGATCTGGCTATGGTAGTGCTGTGTGTGTGAGGACCTTGGTCTCTGTTGACACTGGCTGCGAGGGCTGCCTGTGGTAGCTCTGGAGCAAAGCAAGTGAATACCCAGCTGATGGAGGCCATGTTCTTCCTGGCCCCAGGGAGGCAAGCCTCCAGGCAGGACAGTCCATGGGGCAAGAGTTGTGTCCGCCAGTCACTCATTGTGGGACTTCAAGTGCTGCACTGTTCAGCTTCCTAGTTTGTGGAACGAGGGTTAGAAATAGTTGATCCTAGGGCCATGTGTGCCCTTATTCTCTTGTTTAAATCTAAGCATCTCAAAACTTCTGGCCAGTGTTAGCAGACCAGAAGTAAGCATAGGCCCCTCTAGAGTGAGATTGGGAGAAAGTAAAGGAAACAGAGGGGTCTTGTCTTAGCTCCGCCACTGGCTTCCCCATGACTTGGGCATGTTCCTCAAACCAAGCTTGGTTTCCTTATTTATAAAGAACAACAGATAAGGCTCGGCACCTGTACCACAGTGGTTATGGCACCAGCCACATACACCAAGGGTGGCAGGTTCAAACCCAGCCCGGGCCAGCTGAACAATAATGACAACTGCAACAAAAAAATAGCCACATTTATGGCAGATTTCTGTAGTCCTAGCTACTTGGGAGGCTAAGGCAAGAGAATTGCTTAAGCCCCAGAGTTTGAGGTTGCTGTGAGCTGTGATGCCACAGTATTCTACCCAGGGTGACATAGTAAGACTCCTGTCTCAAAAAAAAAAAACCAGATAAATCTGTGGAGTATTTACTGGAACCAGACGTTTTATGTGCTTTCTGTGTGTTAAATCACTCAGTCTTCACAACAGTCGAGGTAAAGGTTGGGTTACAGGCAGAGAATAAGTAACTTGCAGAGATAAAGCTGCCTTCCCTACTTAAAAACAGGACAGGGCAAACAACTCCCTGAGCTATAGCATAGTGGTGGCATGTTGGGTGCCTGAGGTGACTCCTATCGTAGCACACCCCCACCCCCCAGTCACAATGCAGGCTTTTTGAGATCCTCAGGCAGGACATTTACTAAACTGTTGTAAACAGGACACAGAATGAGACATAACGCATAAGTGCTATGTAAGATGTGAAGCATGCCGTGGCTGTGTATATTCTGTGACTGTGCACACATCACAGTCCCGTGGTCAAGGTAGACATTTTGGGAAGTAATGCACACTGCCCCTGGGGGAGATGTGCTAGAACCTTGGCCGGTGGCATTCCTGGCAGCCCCTCTGCCCCGGGAGTGAGAGGCCCAGGTGGCAAACCTGTGTCCTCTGTGTGTCTATGTGGGCACAGCAGTGCATCGGGCTGGGGATGGCAGCTGCGGTTATCTGCTCCTGAGGCCACATTCACCAAGCACTTGAGCCATAGTTCCTGACACCTCACATGGGTGAAGAGATGGCAGTTATACGTGTGTCAGACCCTTTGTACTTTTCCCCTACTTCTTTCTCTTTTTTAAAAATTGTCATCGAAGTGATACCTACGCATGATTTAGAAAAAAAGTATAACTTGCATTTCTTTAATTCTGCATGCCTTCTTCATGGGATTTTTGTGGCTTTCTTGGATTCATCCCATCTGTCATTAACTACCACCTGTTCCCTCATGGCTGTGGTCCTCTGGGTGGCAGCTGCCCCATGGGAGCCCAGGGAGTGTGGGGGATGTCTCCCACTCCAGCCCCGCTCTTCCTGTGCAGATTACCAGCTGACCAGTGCAGAGCTGTCCTCTTTACCAGCCTTCAGTTCACCTGGGGGGCTGTCGCTAGGCACTGTCGCCACCTGGCAGCAGCCCCAGCAGCCCCAGCAGCCGCAGCAACCGCAGCCTCCGCCACAGCCTCAGCCTCCACCACAGCCACAGCAGCAGCCACCTCAGCAGCAGTCCCACCTGGTCCCTGTGTCTCTCAGCAACCTCATGTGAGTCCTGGGGAGCAGGGGGAGAGGATCCTCTTGAGAGCTGGGGTCCTTTTGGGGTCTCCTGTCACCAGTAGACATCATGACTGGGCAGTATGCAGCATGTGAGGCAGTGGTGGCAAGCTCGGGGTCCCCTGTGCAGGCCTGAGAGATTCACCCTGATATCTTCCCCCGGCCAGCCTCAGGGTGGGGGTGGAGTGCAAGTGGGGGCTCCTGGGCTGCAGAAGACATTGTGAGGTAGAAGGAGAACTAATACTTCCCATATCCTTTCTTATCCCTTCATTTGACCTTCTCTCTCCTGGTCCCTCTCTTGTACTCCTACCCCCTGTATTCTCACCTCTTTTCGCTCTTAACGTCTGTCTTATGACCTCCTATTACTTTTCCTATCACTCACCCCTATTACTTTTCCTATCACTCACCCCTCTATTTCTGTCCTCTCTACCCTACCCCTGTTACCTTCCTCCAGCCCGGGCAGTCCCCTGCCCCACGTGGGTGCTGCCCTCACAGTCACTACCCACCCGCATATCAGCATCAAGTCGGAACCAGTGTCTCCAAGCCGTGAGCGCAGCCCTGCGCCTCCCCCTCCAGCTGTGTTCCCAGCCGCCCGCCCTGAGCCTGGTGATGGCCTCAGCAGTCCAGCCGGGGGCGCCTATGAGACGGTGGATCGGGATGATGGACGGGGGGACTTCGGGCCCACACTGGGTTTGCTGCGCCCGGCCCCAGAGCCTGAGGCAGAGGGCTCAGCTGTGAAGAGGATGCGGCTTGATACCTGGGTACTGTAGCATCACCCTCTTGCTTTTGTCCACCGTGTCTGCTACACCCAGGGACTGCCCGTGTGCCCCCGATCTGTTTTGTCTCCCACACGAGAGGCCTTAAGGCCGGCTAGCCCCTCTAGCAGCCCCTTTGGGCGTCACCAACCAGTACCCCTTCACCCTTGCCAAAGGCCTGTTTCTTCCCTCCCTCCAGCATCAGTCCTTCTGCTTGATGAATTCCTCCCCCACAGCTGGCCCTGCCGCTGGAGTCTTGGCAGTGGGGGGAGGGGAGAGGGAATGCATACCTGTAGCCTGGGCCACCCCCTCACACCCCCTTCTCCATCTCCTCTCTTCACAGACATTAAAGTGACGATTCCCACTCCCCTACTCCCAGCTTCCCTGATGAAGAGTGACAATCTCACCGCCCACCCCCTGTCCTGGGCTCCTCCCGCTCGACCCCTCTTCCTTTCTTGTGCTCCGTGTCCTGTTGACGGTTACATTTGTGTATAATTATTATATTATTATTATTATTATATATTTTTTAATTTGGATTCTCGCTTTGGAGAGGGGATGCTCTCATCCCCTCTTTCTACACCTCCCACCATTTTCATTGGCTGGGGGGCTCTCTTTTTTGCGGGAAGGGGGGGACACTTTGCACGTTGTACACATATGCTGCAGGAAGGGGGTGGGGCCCCGACAGGCCTTTGGGAAAAGATGGGTGCTGAGCCCTGCCTGCGGAGCCTTCCTATCCGTCCCCAGACAGAGGGAAATAACCAAAAAGACTACAAACAACAACCCCCACACAATAGACTAAACCCCAAAGTTGGCTTGCTGGTGGGTTTGTGTTTCAAGAAGAAAGAAGGCAGAGGTTCTGAAAAGTCCCTTTGCTTCTGGGCTGTTCATGAGGCTGTACGCACATGGGGCTGAATACCCACACCAGCCCCCACGTGCCCCTGCATGCCCATGGGACATACTCGCTGACGTTTGTGCTGCACCCCCCTGGTGTATGGGTGCTGGCTGGGCTTTGGGCTGGGAAGGCTGCCTGAAAATCTGAGGACAGGGCAGGGATTTGAGGTGGGAGCCTCTCTGGAAGCACATTTGGAGAGAAAGAGCCATGAGAAGGGGGATGAGGAAGGCCGGGGCTGGGCAAGGGGCAGATTGGGGCCCCCTCCCTTCCCCAGCTTTTTCTCTAAGATACACAGTGCAATAGCTCCCCATCCTTCAATTGATGCCAGCCCTGTACAGCTGGCCGCAACGTGCAGGGAGGAGGAAGAAAGGGACTTGGTGAGGTGGCTCAGGGCAAGAGCCGGCCTGGGGCTTTCATGGGGTGAGTGTGGTGAGGGACGTCCTGGGGCTTGCACGCACACTGCCCAGAGGAGCAGTCCGGATGGTCTGTGGAGGCAGGAGGTCCCATCGCGGAGCACCTGCCTCCCAAGCTCCTCCGGGGCCTCTCCCAGCCGCCCATCCCCTGGGCAGCCCCTCCTGCTCCCACCACTTCTCCCTGCTCTTGGCGCCCACTGTCTCTTGCTACCTCCTTGTCCTGCCACCTCCAGGCTGCACCCCACCTTCCCTCTTGGCTACTGTAATTGTAAATAGCGACCTTTGGAAAATGTTAGCAGTGTAACAGTCCAGGAAACTGTTTTTTTTTTGTTGTTGTTGTATTGATATGAAATGAGATTCTATTTTTGTCAAAGTATATTGTAATAATAATGACTCAAACGGCCCGTACTGTACAGATGAGATTCTTCTGCTGTTGTTTTTGCTCCCCCTCCCATCCCCTGAGCCTTGCCCTTCTCTATTGCCTCCTGGGGGGGAGGGCGGTGGGCAGGGGGCCCAGGGCAGCTGAAGCTTGGGGTCCTGAGTCCTCAGGCTGGATCAGAGATAAAACTGAAGGGAACAGACTCCCAGCCTGCCATTCCCCAGTGTACCCTGCCCCCCTCCTTACCCAAGGCCAGTTCCTCTGCCCAAGGGGTGCAGTACTCCCTTGGGTTTCCTGCCAGTTGGAGGGTAAAGCCAGACAAGGCCCACTGTTGTGGCAGACAACCTTCTTTGCCCGCCTCTGTGACCCAGTCTTTTGCAGTATTCCGACACGTGACACAAGGAAGGAACCAGTAGTAGAGGGGTGTGCATGACCACACACATACCTGAGTGTGTTCATGAGGGCACCTGGTGTTTGTATGTGCAAGCACATGTGTGTTTGGAGGCTTGGAGCCTGTCTGGGTGTGTTTGGAAACCTGTATGATTGGAGCTCAGAGGCGTCTCTGTGCTGGGTGGGCTGCTGTGTGTTTACAATGGGGAAGGTGTTCCTGCCAGCTCCACAGCCCTGGCCTCCAGCTCTCCTGTCCCCTCCACACTGACAGGTCTGAAATGCAGCTAGTGGGGCTGGTAGCTGGCCCTTTGCATGTCCCTACAGCCCTACAAAGACCTCTGCCTCCACACAGTTGTGTCCCCATGGCCCCCCACACTATGGTCCCCTAGCCCAGGCCTGCTTTCAGAGCAACATTCAAGATCCTCTTCCTCCCCAAAGCTTTTTCCTCAACTGAGCAGTGGTCCTTCCTCACTCACAGCTTAGCCCTGACCTGCTGACCAGACAGGGACACAGCATGTCCAGCCTTCCCACCTCTCTTGCCGGTTCCTAGAGGGAATTGCAGGAACTGATGAGTCTTGATCAAGAAGCCGGCGTGCAGCCCTGTGCATGCATGCATCTCCCTGGCACCTGGCACACACTAGGCGCTCAGTATATACTGAAATGGATGAATAGTTGAATGATAGGTGCTCAACAAACATTGAATGACTGGCCTTCCCTTCTCAGGTTCTGCCCACCTCCTGAGGCCAGGCTTGGCCCCCCGTGAGCCCAGGTGGAGCGGGCCTGCAGGTCACAGGTCACAGTACTCACCAGTTTTGCCCTCTGCCTCTTGAGGCAAGTCTGGTTTTTGATTACCCTGTGTGGATGTGTCTGTGTCCTTTCCTCTCTGTCTTTGGGGACGGGGTGGTCTGTGAGTGAAAATGTGACATTTCTGCAGTTCAGTGCCCCAAGATTTCTCTTGGGGTCAGGGGCTCCTGGCTGGCCAGATGAATGGGTCCCTGGGAACCTAGACTTCAAACGGGGACTGACTTTCTTCTTCCTCTCACAAGCCAAATTTGCCTCCACCCACTCCCTCTGAAGAACTGGGCACTTGCCAAAGTAACCACTGGAGTCATCTGATGCCCCTCCTATTCCAGGTTTCCCACAGCTTTTGGGGATGGGGTCAGGAGGACCCTCCACCTCAACAGAACGCGCCACACCCTCCCAATAATGCACTCAAGGCAGAGAGACTGACCCCTGACCCCACCTAACCCTCCCCACCTTGGACAGGAAGGAAGTAATGCACCTTTTGCTGATTATTTATTTGTTTGGAGAGACAAAAATGATGTAAAAGTGTATCTAGAAATATCTATATCTCTCTATATTTTTAACTGACTCTTTGGAATCCCTTGGGGTGGGGTGAGGGTAAATTTAGGCTTTCATAGAGGGGAGGAGACTTGGAGCTTGGGAACTCCTTGTCCTCCCCTCTGTTGTCCTCCCCGCCCCCTAAAGCAGTTGGTAGTAGGAATGGGATTACTATGGGGGAAGTGGGGCTGGGATATTACATGGAGAATCTGGATTCTCTCTTCTTCCCGGTTCAAATCCCCGGCAGAGGGAGGGAGTCAGGAAGAGGAAGGGAGGGGTGGGACAGGCCATGGAGGTGCCCCACCCCAAAACCCGACAATCACCCACACTCCTGGGGCTCCTCCTGGGTGGTGGGGCTGGGTGAGTCCAAGTGTGGCTGTTGGTTTGTTTTTGATATTTCTTTTTGTGCTGTATGGTGATGCTTTCTTAGTATTCTTCACAATAAGAAAAGACAAAGTCCTCGAGATTCTTATGAGTTTTGTTTGAAAACTCTTTCACTATATTTGTTGTAAAGAGGTTTACTATTAAAAGGAAAAGAATACACATTTCTGATACTTTGGCTTGGGTTTTGGTTTCTTTGGTGCGGCCGAGGAGGGGAAGGAAGGGAAAGAAGGGCTGGTGTAGCCCTGCTAGGGTGAGAGGCCAGCACTTCACCCTAACAGGGAAGGTGGTTCTCAGCCTACTGGCAGGGGCTTCCAGGTGTCTCAGGTGGAATTTGCAGGTGAGAATTTCTTCCAGGTGTTTGTCAGGAGGTAGCCCCAGGACTAAGGAAGGGGTGTCCAGTTAGAAGCCACCGGAGGGATCCTGGGACCCAAGAAAAGCAGAAATACCATCCCGGGGCAGGTCTGGAATAGAATGGTGTTACGTGTGGGGTGGGCACAGCAAGGCCTCTGCCTGTTGGGGCCTTTTAAAGCAGGAGCTTTCCTGGACTAGGGTGGGCACAGGTGGACTCCACCTTCATGGTCCTCACAGCATGGCTCCCTCCTGCAGACAAAGCTGCCCTTGCCCTGCTTCCACAGTGCTTTAACGGTGCTTGCAGCCTCTCCATGCCTTCCTCACACTCACAGGGTGGCTGCTTTAACTCCTGCCTCCTCACACCTGGCATCGCTGTGCCACAGGGCACATAAAGCGCATTATCAGGCTTAGCCACTGCTCCCAGAGTCTGGCCAAAGTAACCCCCTAGCCAGTGCAGACAACAGACTGTGAGGCCCTGACACAGTGGCAGAGATGGCTACAAGTGCCTAATTAAGGCTGCATGGTGGTTGCTGCATATGTAGCTGCTAGAGAGCCCTACTTGACTGACATGGGAATTAGGCAAGTCATAGAACCTTTCTGTGCCTTGGGTTGCCCATGTGACTATCCATACTGATACTGCCTTCCTGGTAAGATTGTTGGAGAGTTCACCTCACTTCTCCCTCAGAGGGGGCAGAGGGGAGCAATGGGGAGCAAGAGATCCAAAGGGCCTCCTGTTACCCCTGCTCAGTATTCATGTCCTCGCATGGTCTCTTCACAATGAATCATGGTTGGTATGTGTCTCTTCTCTTCCACCAGATGCCATGCTGTGAGATACTTAATGTAGTCTATGGAGAGGCCTATGTGTCCAAGAACTGAGGCCTACTGCCCACAACCATTTGAGTCAGGTCATCCTCCCTTCTGTCCTTGTAGTTCCCATAACTCTGCAGACATTGCTACAAGTGAGAACCCACTGGTGCAGTGAGCACTATAGCTCACCCATGCCCATGGAAGAGAGGACCTTTTGCTGAGGTGGCCAGGACAACCCTGACCTAACACCCAAATCATAAGCAAAGCTCCTGTCTGTGTACACCTCCTTAGACTAGCCCACCCTTCCTTTCCTATAGGCATCATCCCATGGTGTCTTGGTGGGCATCACTCCCCACAAATATTTCCTATTCTCCCTTTGCTGGGTCACTGGACTAGTTCTACCTAGCAGACTGTAATGGGCAGTGTGTCCCTTCTGAGATTGAGCTAGTGCCCACCTCTCCCAGCGCTCTTTCCATTGCAGAATTGCAGGAGCACATGTTCAGGTGGCATGGGAGAGCAGCCTGACTGCACAGCACCAGAATGTGAATAGAAATAAGTGATATGGGCTCAGCGCCTGTAGTACAGTGGTTATGGCACCAGCCACATAACACCAGGGGTGGTGGGTTCGAACCTGGCCCAGGACAGCTAAACAACAATGGCAACTGCAACAAAAAATAGCCAGGTGGTATGGGGGGGCTCCTGTAGTCCCAGCTACTAGGGAGGCTGAGGCAAGAGAATTGCATAAGGCCCAGAGTTTGAGGTTGCTGTGAGCTGTGATGCCATGGCACTCTACCAAGGGTGGTATAGTGGGCTGAAGGGTAGGCAGAGGCCTCGCTGTGAAGGGCCTTGATTGCCAAGACTTGGACTTTATACTATGAAAGATTTCTAGTCATCAAAAGATGTTATGTATTTTATGTGCCTGTGCTCAGTGGTTAGGGCGCTGGCCACATGCACCAGGGCTGGTGGGTTCAAACCCAGCCAGGGCCTGCTAAACAACAATGACAACAATAACAACAACAACAAAAAAAACCCAGCCGGGTGTTGTGGGGGGCCTCTAGTCCCAGCTCCTGGGAGGCTGAGGCAAGAGAATCACTTGAGCCCAAAAGTTTGAGGTTGCTGTAAGCTGTGATGCAACAGCACTCTACCGAGGGTAACATAATGAAAACTCAGCTCAAAAAAAAAAAAAAAGAAAAAGAAAAAGAAAATAAACTTACTTGGGTAAGAAGAGCAGAAAATTTTCCTATCATTTAAGTTTTAAGTACTCCAATTTTCCCTCCATAAAGCTTTTATTTCTCTGCCTCCCTTACCCTGCCCAGTTGGCTGTGATATCTTCCAGTGAGGTATCTTAGGAGTCTGCCCCTTCTTTATAGCACCTTCCTCATTCTACCTGGAAATATAGACACTAACGTCTAGTTTCTTTCTACAGCTGGACTGAAAGCTCCCTCTAAAAATGCACTGCTTGGCTGGGTGCAGTGGCTCTGGCCTGTAATCCCAGCACTCTGGGAAGCTGAGATGGGAGGATCCTTTGAGTTAAGGAGTTTCAAACCAGCCTGAGCAGGATTGAGACCCCATCTCTACTAAAAATAGAAAAATTAGCCAGGCTATGTGGTAGGCGCCTGTCATCCCAGCTACTCAGGAGGCTAAGGCAGGAGGATCCTTTGAACCCCCAAGTCTGAGGTTGCTGTAAGCTAGGCTGAGGCCATGGCACTCAAGCCTTAGTAACAGAGCAAGACTCTGTCTAAAAATAAACAAATAAGTAAATAAAATAAAAATGCATGCCTCATCCATTTTTATGTCTGGCTCAGTGACTGGCACACAGTAAGTGTTCAGAGAGGCAAAAATGAGATAATGCGAAAACGCACTTTGTAAACTCCGAGTGCTACAAAACTGATGGATGTGTTTAATACTCAAGGGCGTGGTAACTTTCTGCAGTTTTTTCTCTATTTTCCAGCTGCAAGACCAGCTCTTGAAGGAGTGCCAGAGCCTGAGAGTCCCAGTTTACTGAACTCAAATATGGTCCATGGAAGAATTAGCACCTACTGGGCTCCTCCCCCTGAAGAGGTGGCTTTTGAGAGGCAGGAGGCAAAGGGTGGTATCTGATTGCTCCAGCCAAGAAGGCCAGGCCAGTTCTCTAGCTCATATTTTTCTGACTCACCCCTCAGTCCCATGGGCTGAATAACTTTTCCAGCCTTGTGATTGTGGAAGCTTGTTTCAGGAACAGCGGATGTGGAAGTGACACAGGACCACCCCACCCTAGGCTCCAAAGTGGCTCCCACTGGAGCAGATACAGCTGGTTCCTATCTGTAGACCTCAGTCACCGTGTGTAACTGCCTGGCCCAGGGGCCTGTCCATTCTGCCTTATTTCACAGCTGGTAAACTGGGGACCAGAGAGTGAGAGGTGGCACTCACAGCCTCCTGCCAGCTTCTCCCATGCCCTGCCAGTTCCCCGCTAGATCAGCCTGGGGGCCCAGGAGTCAGTCCTTTCAGTTGGATTGCCTTACCCACCCCACCCCCGTTTGCTTTGTACTTGTTTTCACGTGCTTACAGCTCTAAGGGCCTCGCCCAGGCAGTCTGTTTGGTCTCGTAAAGTGCGGTCTCCGCCTTCCCCAGGGAGAGTCACTCCAATTTACTGTGCATCAGCCGCCACGTGCCCAGTAAAAAAAAAAAAAAAAAAAAACTGGTGACGACGCCCGCCCAAGGAGGGAGGGCCCCAAGCCCCACCCTCGCGGGACCTTGTGGCGCCCGTCCTCGCCAGTGTCACCGCCCTCACTTGAGAGGGAGAGGCTGGCGTCGGCCGTGGCGTCCAATCCCTGCCCTGCCAACCAGAGCCAGGCTCGGACGACAGCGCAGTTCCGGGTACAGAAAATCTCCATCTAAGGCGAAGGGGTAGAAGACAGGCAATAAAGTCACTTGTTTAATCTCCTCTATGCTGCAAACTACCACGGAGGCAGAGAGCGCCGCGTGCCCGGCACACAGGAGCTCAGTAAATGGCTCAATGGCAGCTAGCCCGGAACACTGCTCGGACGCAGCGTCGGCCCCACCATCTTCCATGTACCTTCCCCCCTTTCTTCCCCCCTTCCCTCCAGGCTGTGACACGGAAAACAAGTCAGCGGGGACAACCAACACTTCCATGCCTGCTGCCCATTATCAGGACAGGACAGGGCAGGACAGGACAGGGCAAGACAAGACAGCTTCTCTACCCCTCCCATCCGCAGAGTGCGGACAAAGAACACCGTCTATCCTCAGCGTCCCCTACAGTTGGACGGGAAGAGGGTCCTCAGGCTCACGTCATTGGCTCTCCCAATGACAGATGGGATATCTAGCTAATCACAGCCTGGACAAGGCGCATGCATACACGAAAGATTCAGCCCACACTGGGTGCGGGTGGGAAGGCTCAGAAGGAACCAATTTTGGCTGTTTCCCAGGTCTTCGTGGAGAAGGTGCGCATGCGTTTACTTAGCTACTTCAGTCGCCCTATTCAGCGTGACCGGCAGGTAACGTCTTATGTCCTGGCAGCTTTCCTAAACTCCTGACCTCTGTTAGCTTGCATCCGGACCTGGCGCTGCCTGAGAGGTCCCAAAGAAAGGAAGCGCCTGCCATCGGGGGCAACGCGCAGGTCCCCAAACAGCAAGCGAGTCGCCAGGATCTTGGTGCGAAGTCCCTTCTGGGAGCAGAGGACCGACTGTAGTGTGAACTTTGATTTAAGGAGAACGCTTCGCAGTTTACGAACCGTGTTACATCCGCCCTCGCAGGAGTTCTTCACAACAGCCCCTCCAGATAGGGTATCTGGTGGAGAGGTTGAGGTGCAGGAAGGTGACGGCGACAAGTCCCAGGAAATTGCCCATATAGGTGAAATGGTCATGAGTGCCCTATTACCAAGGAGCCTGTGTTTCCTTAAGATAAAGGAAAAGCGAAGGCACAGTTCCAGCCCTTTTTAAAAATAAGCAATGAGTGCTTAGAAGCCCCAACCGCATCAGGATCACTGTGCTCTGGTGATCAGAGAAGGGTATGT